TTACATTTTCCGAGGATTTTACAATACATATTCCCTACTGATAACCTCTTAAGGATGTATTATTCTGGCACAGTTATAATAATCTAGCTATGAGGATAAATTTTAATGGAGGTAGTATATTTTAGTGGTATTAATAGACTACTTCCTACAGTCAGGCAAACCTCAATTCTCAAGTCCTAGTTCTCTGACACACTAGTTACATGACTTACAGCATGTTATTTAATCTTGCGAGGCTTCAACTTTCACTCATCAAAATAGAGACGAAAATCAAACCTACTTTATCAGAACGTGGAAAAAGTTCCATACAGTGCTTAGCACAGTGTCAGGCATATGAGAAACATTCAATAAATCTGAGCATTCAAAATTTTTAGGTTGAGGGGATTGAAAATGTTATTTTTTTCTATAAAAAATAAAAAGACCTATTTTGAAAAAGTTACCAAAGTGCAATTCAGAGACTTACACACAGACATTTTAATCCAATTATACTTAAAAATCAGTCCATTCTGTATACAAAGATCTTGAAATAAATGTATTGTGGGGAAGGAAAAATTTCAAGAAAACTGAAGAAAGTCCTTTCTATTAGTATGCTCCTTCCTGTTTCTGTCTTTCCCTTCACAGCGACACTATCTTTAGCACACTAGAAAGAAGTCACCATCTTCTAAAATATATCTACAACATGCCACTAAATATTTCCTATTGCTTTAATGGAAAATTGTATGTTAATGCTACGATTTTGTTCATTTTACCCACCTGAGGTTCTCCAGAGATGTCAATACAGCTAGTTCCATTTTCAATACATGCTTTTACGACAGGTTCTCCATAAAAGCGATACTAGGGATGAAGAAAACCAACAGCTTACTCTTTCTTCACAAGTTTAAGTGAATGGCTTGGAAATAATCTAGATTAAGAAATCAAATGCTCCATCATGACCTAGTCCTGCCTTTCAGTTCTGGCTAGACCAGAGCATGTACACCGGTACAGATAAGAGCTCACGACACAAGGAATCCAGGTCAGATAAACCCCTTAGGAACAGAAAGGGAGTAGCGATACCAGGAGGGTAGGAGGAGGAAGGTGGTGGGAGGAGGGGAGGAAGGGGGAA